AGGAAAGCGTCGAGCCCCTCCCTGATCGCGCGCCTCTCAGCACGGCCGACAGTCTGCACCAAATACGGAGGGGGCCCGAACCGCGCCCTTTACTGGGAGCCAAGAGTAAGGATCAAGCTGCACAGCGGCTTGTCCACATCTCCGCACCTCGGGAACACCTGAGTCGTAACCAGACCCGTCGGTGTAAGAAACGGGGCCCCAAACGCCATGGGCGTCGCCCCACAGGCAGACATCGTGCCTCCGCGTATCTGCGCGTGGCAGATAAGCGGGAGGCTCGGGTATGCCAAAAACGAAGTGGGGCTGCTTGAAGTTCGGCGTGCCTGATCCAAGACCCGCTTGGATAAGTTGGTCGCGCACCTCAGCCAGCACTTGGGGGAGGTGGAAGATGCCGCGTCCATTAAGCGTTGGCGTCGTTGTCTCGGGCCCGCCGTGCCCGCGCGGTGCATCGGGCGCCGAGGCTGGAGCCGCCGCCACAAGGGGACAGCAGGTCACTCTGTTCCGAAGCAACCGGTGGCGCACAGGGGACACTCTGCGCGTCCAGCCGCGCCTTCTCCTGATGGCCGTCGTACCCATCGGGTGGCACAAAGTCGACCTCTTCATCACCCCATTGCCCGACGCCTGGGAAGAAGTCGTCCTCGGCCTCCATGGTGCTGGGCTGCTGGGCGCCGGTGTGGGACGGCAGCGTCGGATAGGCCCGACTCTCGAGGTGGTCATGAACCTGCTGGCGTAAGTCGCCGAAACCACGCGTGTCCTGCGCTTGTTGCAGGCCTTGGACATGGTCCGTCGGCTCCTGCTCCATGGATCGTGTCTCCCCTGCGGGTGGGGGGTCAGCAGCGCGGGGCATTCCAAGAAGACATGGCCCCAGCATTGGTCGGGCGCAAGGGCCTGCCCGCAAGCCTGACAAGGGCGCATGGGCCTGCCGAGCTTCATGCCCCTGCGAATCGGCATGGGTATGTTGTCAGACCATAGCGCCTGTAAGGATCCAAGCTGCCTTGCGGCAAGGACACCCTTGACCGCGTACCTGAGCCCACGGTGCCAGATGGGCGCACCAGCGTGGGAGTACATGTGGCTGGTGAGGCGGTCATGCTGCCAGCGCTGCACGCCTTGCACCATGAACGGCCGTAGGTCAGCAGGGCAAACGCGGTACAGGTCATACTGGTTGCCCAGGTCGCCCTGCAAGACGCGCGGCGCTTTCGTGTCCCTGGCTAGCCGCCTGAGCGTCAACCGCGTCGCGGCCAGGGGACCGTTGGCATTGGCCCAACTGATAGGGACGCCCCGCTCATGGAGGGCTGCCCAAGCCCTTTGCAGGCGGCTAGGTGACGTACGCCCATCCCAAATCCAGGCGGCGTAGTTCAAGACCAAGTCCAGCGTGGCATGATAGATGGGGTCGTACTCCTCCGAAGGGTGAGTAAGGAGGTATGCCGTGACGCCCACGTGGTGTTTGTCACTGCGCCCGTTTAGCACCGCGGCCAAGTTGCGCATCTCGCGTAGTGGCGCGTCCGTCAACCCCGACTCTCCAGCGCCGTGCCCTGCGGACGGCATGAGCCCAGTCCGCCGCAGGGTGGAGGCCTTGCGCCCTACCGCTCGTCGCAGCATGAGGAGTCGGTGCTTGCGCCCCCGCACGGTTTCCAGGCGCTTCTTCTCGACGTTCCTCAGCACTCGAGGGCCATGCAGCTCATGGCCAAGGTTGCGCAGGTGTCGGGCTTGGGGCACCGCCCGAGGCATCCGCCGCTAGACCCTACGCCCCACAAGGCGGACCTGCGCTGACCCAGCGACCACCGCGGACTTAGCAGGTTGGAGAGAACAAGCCAGAGGTCCCTTGCCTCTGCAGTGAGCACCATCGCAGTGCTCAGCAGCAGCTCGACATCACCGAGGTCGGGGGATACCATCTGCAGGCCGATGTCGTCCACCAGCGCACGTGGCTTGATGGTCGGCGCAACCCTGATGGCCCGCTGGAAGACACGGTACGTCAGAAGGTAGATGAGGTAGGTGGCATGTGTGCACCCCGCCAGCATCGGGTAACCCAGCTCCCGTGCCTCCCGCATGAACGCATGGGGACTCACCATGTCAAAGCATTTCACCATGTCAAGGAGGATGGTACAAGTGTGGTCGCCTATGAGGCTTCCCACCTCTTGCTCCAGATTGTGAGCAAAAGCCGAGGCCGTGGAGGTGTGGCTGCCTCGAGTACCCCACATCTCGTCGCATGCATGCAGTCGTTGCCACTCTGCTGACAGCCATCGGCGTGCTTTCGCCCAAACTCGTATGAGAGTATGGCTAAGCACAATCAGCCTGTGGCCACCATCTGGCTAAGGGAGGTGGACCATCTCACTATACAGGCGGTCTGGGGGGAACCGTAGGTGCTGCTCAAACACCTCGAACATCTGGGCCAACCTCCTGAGCGCCTCATCTGGTAAATGCTCGAGCGCCCGCGGTGGAATGCGGGTGGGCCCCGAGGCAGTGGCGAGAGAAAACGATCGGATGGCCTGCCCTAGGTCATGGACCGTCAGGCTAGGCAGCTCCTCCCAGGCAAGTGCATCCGTGGGTAGAGGCAACTCTTCCAGCCCATGGGCCGCCCAGATCCGCTTCCACCCGTCCATGGTGCGGTCCGCGAGGATGTGTGGCTGGGCGTCGGCCTCAGGGGCAACGAGCTCTTGCTGCGCCCTGACCTTGGATGCAGCATGGCCAGCCTTCGCCCCCCCACCGAAAGCCGCCTGAGCCCAGCTGCGCCAGGCTCTCTCCGACGAGCCGCGAGCCGCAGCAGCGAGGTCCTCCGCGCGGCCCACGATGGCATTTACCATGTCATCAAAGTCCTCCGCAAGCAGCCCGTCCAGCCTGCGCAGGAAGAACTGGCGGCAGCCGGGGTCGATGTTGGTGAGGACTTTGTCCTGCCCAGCAATGGAGCTCAGGAAGCAGAGGATGTCGTAGAAGACACTGGCCGTCTTCTGCAGCTGCCTGGAACGCGGAGACGCGCACGCCGCCGCCGCATTCAACCGGTGACAAAAGCGCTGGGCCCGATCACGCTCAGCACGAAGGTGAGTCGCCCAGCGTGCCGCAGTAGCCCAAGCCCAGACTGTGGTGTCGTGGCACAGCCGCTTGCGAAGTGGATCCCGCCGCAACGGCCGCCACTTCACCTTGGGGGGGCTGTGGTGCCCGACGAAGCGGTTGGCTCCAGGGCCAACTTTGTCGCGCCTGCCTGCGATCTCGTAGTCAATACCCAGCAGAACGGAGCCCCAGAGCTGCTGCAAGACCTCATCGGGTGCACCTGCCTCGCCGACGGCCTGTCCATGGGCGCAGGTCCGACGGCGACAACGTTGGCCCGCGCGTCCCGATCGGTCGCGCTTAGTTTTGCCTCATGGACCTAAGTGAACGACGGACCTGCATCGGCCCCGATCGGGCCTGGACTGGACATGATCCGTGCCAGCAACCCTAAGCGGCGCGGTGGCTGCTCGCGCAAATAGGCTGTCCAAGATATGCCAAGGAAAGGGGAAACGTGCACAGCCAACAGGGGGTGCAACAGGCAGTGGTCGAGGCTCATCGGGGACGCTGCGCCGCGTCAGCGTGTCCTTCCCGTGCAGCTCCAGACCCGCAGGGTAGTGAGGTCTGGGAATGCGCCCACGACCATGAATCACCACGGGCTGGCGAGGAACACGGGGCGCGAGATTGCTGGCCACCAAGAAGTAGTCGATGGTGGACGCTCCACTGGAGGCGACGCAAGTAGAGGCCGACGGCTGGAGAACTCAGTCGCCAATGTGGATGCTCTGGCCGCCGGCGTTCCAGTCGCCCCCGATGATCCAGTCAAGGCCGCGCGCGTTCCACGCCGCCACGCGCTTCGCCAGCGCCCAATCGAGAGGTTGGCCCCAGTGACGTCAATGCCCTGAACCATGCGCACGCCGACGACGAGCAGACCACCAGGGACACCCAAGTAAACGTGAGCTGCCACAGCATGATGTGGAAAGACGACATGACCCCCATCGGGGGGCATCGTGACCATCGCGTCGGTAGGCGCGAGCACGCAGGCCCCGCTGGAGCACGACGCCGCGGTCGCTCCCCCCGTCTCCTCGGCAGGAGCCCCGAGGCCGTGCCAACCTGCATCGCGCACAACAGATTGAACAACCCCAAGCCTCTGGTCGACCACCCGCGTCTCCTGCACCATCACTACCTTGCCGAGGAAGTGCGGCAGGAAGTTAAGATGTGGCCCGTGAGAGCCAGGGTTGACCGTGACCAGCTCGGCCGCCACCTGACAGCGCGCGTCGCCAGTATCAGGCGTGGCCGTGCTGGGACCCTGCGCAAGAGGATCGCGACCCTCTGGCCCCTCTGGCATGCTTGCGTCGCTGCCGCCAGCTCAATACCGAGGTGGCCCTTTCCGCCAGTTGCGAAGCAAGCCCGCGGACTGGTCAGCCGCCGACTTGGTCCTCCCACCACTGTCGGGGGCCCCTGCAGAACCCACCTCGAACTGGGTCACGAATAGGCACCATAACAGCATGGAGGTCCATCCTCGTGGGCGCGCCGCACACGGTGAAGACGCGCAGACTGGAGTAAAGGTCGACGGCGACGGGCTGGAACAGTAGCGGCCACTGGCGGGAGGCGCGCTGTGCTCTTCGCCAAGCGGAGGCGGACCCATGCAACCAGGACCCCACCTAGCAGAAACGCGTACATAGCACGTGCTGCACTGTGGGCGCCAGGGCAGCCATGGCAACAACATCAGGGCCAGACCGCATGTATGCCCTGGCACAGTGTGGAGCCTAGGGGCAGGATCTTTCCGCCCCCCTTGCCTTGCACAGTTATGCCTCCACCGGTCCAGACCGTTGCCCGTGCTGACGGCCTGCGCATGGTACGTGCTGTCAGTGCACGGGAGGCCACAGCTGACACTCTGTCTATGGGACTTCCTGTCAGTTTGATGGCCGCGCAGCCCGTCACAACAGGCTGGCGCATTGCACTCGCATCGAATGGTCTGCGCATGGCACGTGCCATTCGCGTGGTCGCGCTGGCGAGCGCTGCCCTCAGAAAGGAGCTGATCGAGCCTTCTTCTTCCTCTCGTGCGCCGTAGCCGCGTGCGTGAAGGAGTCGAAGACACGTTTGTGCGCCACCCGCACGTCCGCGTCGGTGGCCTCGTCAGGCTGCGCGAGTCCTGCCGCCTCCAACGCCTCCCGCAGCTCGGCGGACTCCATGAGGTCGATGTCGATATCCATGTCGCCCCTGGCTTGCACCTGGCCCGCGGGAAGAATGGCGGTGGAAGCAACTCCTCCTCCTTCTTCTCCAGCAGGAGTCGCGGGAGCAGGGGCAGGAGAAGGCGCCTGTGTGGCCGGCGGCTTCGCCTGGGGAAGCTCATGGAGCCCCCCGAAGACTTTGGCCGCCGTCTCCAGCTCCGCCTGAAGGCTGGGGTCCAAGCCGAGCTCCACGGCCAGCTCGCCAAGCTGCTGGACGTTGACAGCAAACTTCGGCTCGGCAGCAGCTCATGGAGCGTGGGCTTGCCAGCCGTGGGCGGAGGGGCTCGGTCGGCGCCCAAGCGCTGGACCTCCTCCTCCAGCCGCACGACTTCGGCATCTGCCTCGGCCAGGGAGTCCTGCACCGTCTGCTTGGCCACCAGCTCGTCGATGACCAGCTGCTTCCTAGTGTGTTCCTCGCGAAGGCACTTGGCCTTGGCACGAGAGGTCCGCAGCCTCGTGGCGAGGGAGGTGACCCGATCCTCCAAGCGGCGCTCAGCGTCGAGCTCCTTGCCCAGGCGCTCCTTCTCTTCAGTGAGGGACTTGACCTGCGCCAGGTCAGAGGCCACAGAGGATCCATCATAGACCTTGAGGAGCTCATTGATCTTCTTGATGCGGTCGCGCTTGACCTGCTTCTCCGAAGGGTCAGCGGTGCCTCTGCTGTCGCCAGTGGGAGCCCCATGGGAGTACCCACTGTCCAATCCGACGCCCGCCCCAGCATTGGAAGCGCTCCCCCCAGCAGCAGCAGCAGCAGCCGCCCAAGGAGGAGGCGACTTGGTGACCGTGAGCTTCTTGACCATGGCCTGAAGGTCGGCCAGCTGCTTAGCCATGGAGGCGGTGCCGGACATATCCTTCGATGCCTTGGGTGGGCCCTTGGACATGGTCGCAGGGCTCCCTTTGGGCGTTTTGGGACCACCGTAGCAGACTCCTTTAAGTAGGTTGCATTTGGAGCATTGCTTGAGGTCGCCACGGTTGATCCACGGCGCGCCGCCCCTCGTGACGCAATCCTTGCAGCGCCAGGGGTCAGCAACGAGGCGGCGCGACATGACGGCGCCGTGATGGATGTAAGGCCAGCCAGGCCGCAGTAACCGCTTATAGTCCAGGAGTCCTGGGGGCGCCACCCAGGAAGCCCAGAGGCCAGAACTGGGCGCCGGCGGTAAACCGTCAACCTTGGTTACCGCCGGAAGACTCGTAGAGCTTCCTAGCTCGACTTAAGTTGAGAAAACCGACAGCACCTACCAACATTCCGACTCATAGTGAATATTTGTCGACTCTGAATGCGACAGGCGGACGCGTCTGATGTCTGCGAATCGACTCCTGTCATTACCAGCCCTGCAGCCCCCCTACAGCCCGAGTTAAGTGCAGAAAACCGACAGCACCTCTCAGGATAACTCGAACAATACAGTAGTTTCGCAGACCTAATTCGGGCAGCAGACCGAGTTCCGAGCTCTGGATTCGACAGGCGGACGCGCCTGATGTCTTCAAATCGATTCATGTGCTCACCAGCACTGTAGCCCCCCTCAGAGCGAGTTGAGTGAAGAAAACCGAGAGCACTTCTCAAGATGACTCGACCAATACGAATTTCGCGTCTAGATCGGGCAGCAGACCGAGTTCAGAGCTCTGGATTCAACAGACAAACGCAACTGATGATTCTGAATCCGTTTCTGTGAATATCAGCTCTGTAGCTGTCCTACAGCTCGGATGAAGTACAGAAAACCGAGAGTTCCTGTCAAGATGACTCGAATGATACGAATAGGTTTGCGGACCTAGCTCGGCTAACATACCTAGTTCAGACCTCTGGATTAACAGGCGAACGCGCCTAATCATTCTACATCGATTAGCTGTGCTTACCAGCTCTGTAGCTGTCCTAAAGCTCGAGTTATGTTCAGAAAACCGTCAGCGCGTATCAAGATGACTCAAAACGGCCGATCCCGCCACAGTGCTTTTCGATAATAATATTCACCCGATCGAGCTGAGATCAAGATGGCGAGCGGGAGTAAGATCGAATATCACGGGAAAAAATACTAGAGCTCTAACGAATTGTCAAATTTCGAGAACAAATTTTCAACCGACCAAAAGTCAGCAAAAGTTCCGTCGAGATTTTTCTTGCCAGCTAGCTCTCCAGCGCGCCGGAATTACTCTTAAGCTTCCAGCAACTAGCTTAGGGAAGCTCTACGAGTCACTTGAGCCAGAACTTGAGCCAAAATGGATACGGAGAAGGAGGAGGAGGAGGAGGAGGAGGAGGAGGAGGGGGAGGAGTGGAGAGGAGGACGCGGGGCGCCGTCCCCTCAAAACGAGGACCCAACACCACATAATGGTTGGGGAAAAACGAGACCAGTGGATCCAGGGGTTCCCTTTTTTGCTCGTGGAACCTTCCCCGCAGGGCCAGGAGGGGGGCCTTCCCCCAGACACCTCTCCCCAATCACCAGCAGATTGCATTAGTTGTGCTTTGGAGCCTGCGGGAGAGGAAGAGAAAGGTAGAGAGAGAAAGAGACAGAGAGAGAGGGAAATGGTTCCTTGGAGGCTCCTTAGAAGCTCCTTGGAGCCTCCTTAGAAGCTCCGTGACAATTCCTTCGAAGCTCTTCAAGTGTCCCGTTATATATATATATATATATATATATATACAAGTGTTGTTTATTCCGTTTGTTTTTTATTAGAAAAATCCTTACGGGCTCCTGACAGGCTTCCGTAGAGGCGTCCTCAGAGGCTCCTTAGAAGCTCTCAAAAGCTCCTTGTGAGGCTCCGTAGAAGCTCCTGGGAGGCTCATTGGAAGCCCCGCAAACGCGCCTTAGAGGCTCCCGAGAAATTTCCTCAGAAGCTCCTCGGGAGGGTTCATTTGGCTCCTTACTTAGATGCTTCTTAGCTCCTCAGGGGCTCCCGAACAGCTCATTCGCGGCTCTTTAGAAGCTTGCAAAAGGCTCATTGGGGCTTTCCTTAGAGGCTACTTAAGAGGTTTCCTGCGACTCCTTACAGGCTCCTTCGAAGTTCCCTAGAGATTCCTCCGAAGCTTCCGTATAGGTTTCCTAATGGTTTCCTCAGAAACTCCTTAGAAGCTTCGTAGAGGCTTCCTTAGAGGCTCCTCACATGCTCATTAAGAGGTTTCGTTCGATACCTCAGAAGTTCCTTAGAGGCTCCTCAGAAGTTCCGCAGAGGCTCCTTAGAGTCTGCTTAGAGGTTTCCTTCGAGGCTCACTAATATTTTTCCTGAGAAGCTCCTCCAAGGTTTCCTTCAAGGCTCCTAAAGGGTTTCCGTATACGCTTCCCTAGAAGCTCCTCAGAGGATTCCTCAGGGGCTCCTTAGGGAGGTTTCCTTAGAGGCTCCCCGACAGGCTCCTTAGAGGCTCCTTAGAGGTTTCCTTAGAGGCTCCTTCAGAGGTTTCCTCAGAGGCGCCTTGGAGGTTTCCTTAGAGGCACCTGAAAGGTTTCCTTAAAGCTGTTTCGAAGCTCCTGTGAGGCTTACTTCGAGGTTCCTTAGAGGCTTCCTTAGAGGCTCCTTCGAAGCTCCGTAGAGGATCCTTAGAGGCTCCTTAGGGACTCTGCTAGAGGCTCCTTCGAAGTTTTCGAAGAGGCTTCCTTCAGAGGTTCCTTAGAGGCTCTCTTGGGAGGCTCCTTTGAAGCTTTTGTTATTTTTCTTTTTAAAAGTAGAGAGAAGACGGAAGCAAAGAAGGGTGATGCAAACATGTGCGCGGCACCGTGGCGATAATGCCACTTTTGAAAACAAGTGCGCGGCGCCGGGCCGAGAGTGCAAACAACAAGCGATAGGAAAAGAGAGGGAATATGAAGGCAAAGAAGAGTGCCGAAACAATGCGCGCGGTGCAGAAGCGAGAGTGCCATTAAAAAAATGGTGCGCGCCGACGAGGCGAGAGCAAAAATCAACAAAGACTGCAAGACAGCCGCATGCTCCACGCCACAAGAGCCTGGCCTCTCGTGTTTACCCGCCAGTGCAAGGACCGTCGTCTTCGCTTCGTCTTCGAACGCCGCCGTCCGCCCCAGGAGCGCCCCGAGAGACCACAAGGGGGCTCCAAGAGGGCCCATGAGTCGCCCATGAGGAGGAGGAGGAGGAGGAGGAGGAGGAGGAGGAGGAGGAGGAGGAGGAGGAGGAGGAGGAAGAGGAGGAGGATGAGGAGGAGAGGAGAGAGAGGAGGAGGAGGAGGAGGAGGAGGAGGAGAATGAGGAGGAGGAGGAGGGAGGAGGAGAGAGGAGAGGAGGAGGAGGAGGAGGAGGAGGAGGAGGAGGAGGAGGAGGAGGAGGAGGAGAGGAGGAGAGAGGAGGAGAGAGGAGGAGGAGGAGGAGAGAGGAGGAGGAGAGAGGAGGAGGAGGAGCAATCTTCGAACGCCGTGCGCCCCCGCGCCACGCCACGCGGCCGAGGCCGTGGCTCGGCTGGCGCCGCCTGCTGCGGCACCGGCTGCGCCAGCTGCTGCAGAGAGCTGCAGCTGCTGGGGCCGCTGCCAGGGGCGGCCGAGGCCTGCGGCGGCGGCTGCTGCTGCGGCGGGGGCTGCGGCTGCGCCAGCACGACCTTGCAGGGGGAAGGGCGGGGGGGGGGGCCCGCTCCGCCAGAGGGGGAAAGTGTGTGGGGGGGGAGGCTCGGGCGGGAAGGGCCGGGCGGGAAGTGCCGGGGGGGGAGGGGCAGGGCTGGTCGGGAAGGGTTGGGAGGGGCTGCGGTCGCGCCGGCACGACCAGAGCTGACAGGCTGCCAGTGCACCTCTGAAGCCCCTGACCCTGTGGGCGCGGGAAGCGCTGTGGCCTCTGCCGCCCCAAGCACAACCAACAGAAGGAGGCGCCGGACGTCGGCTCAGGGATAACCCCGATCGTCGAGCGTCGGCTCGTTGGGCGCCTGGCATCGGCCCAGGGGGGTTGGGAGCCTCAAGCTGGAATCAGCGATGAATCACCGATAGATTAGCGATGGGCCCGCGATGGCGGATCCGCAGGGCCCTGGGCGGGATGGGCTATCGGGCCCTATCGGCGGTCAATGGGCGATTGGGGGTCGATGCCTTCGCCCACGAGCCCATCCCCTTAGCGTTGCCCCTGAGATGTTCCCTAAACTTCCAACGAAACGATTTGCAAAATCCCGGCGCGTTTCCTTGGTTTCGGCCCCCAGGGCCCATGCCATCAGAAGTGCATTCGGGACGGGACGAAGGACTACCCTCCGACCTCAAAGGGGCCAGGGCCGCGCATGGAAGACGTCGCATCGCTGGATGCCTCGACCCTTGCGTCCCACCCTCGCTCTGTCTATCTCTGTCTCTCTCTCTCTCTCTCTCGCTCTCTCTCTCTCTCTCTCTTTCCCTCTCTCTCGCTGATGGGGAGGAGGATAGGGGAACAAACAATGACATCTGCCACCGTGCCCCCTGGCACGTTGAGGCGTGCTAGAATGCCAAGTGCTGTCTGATAGGGTGTCTGTAATCTTCTAAGGGCCCCCCCCTCTCCCCGCCGCACCTCGCCGCGCGCACCAGCCCTACTCCCGGGGGTTCCCTGCGAGGCCATGGCGCCTCCCTGTGAGATACCCCTGGCGGCCCCCCGTTAGGAGTGCTAAAACCAGCAAGCCGCTCGAGACATCCTCATCATCTGCTCATCATCATCATCATCATCATCATCATCAGCATCATCATCATCACCACCACCATCATCATCTGCTCACCATCATCATCAGCATCAGCATCAGCATCATCATACTCATCTACCACTCGCCATCACCATCATACTCACATCATACCCTCACCTTACCATGTGGTATGGGTGGTCCGGCGCGGTCGGAGAATAATTACTCACTGCGTAGAGCTCCCCATATGCGCATCTATTCGCATGGACCTGTCCGCCGTGAGCGTCTAGGCGCAAGAGTTTCCGAATCTAAGCAGGCTTGAGTTGTGACGGTCTGGTCATGACTCTAACTGCGAATGAATTGGAATGCGAATGAGTCTCAGTAGTGCGAGCGCGTCTCTGCGCATGAGCCTGGGGTCTCCTGGGACCTCCTGGGGCTCCCTGGGGCCTCAAGGAGCCTCTTTGGGCCTCCTGGGGCCTCTTGGGGCATCGAGTGGCCTCCTGAGGCCTCC